ACAGCCAATTCGGAGTTCGTCATCAAAAGGAGTCCGTGTCATTAAACTTCCTCATCGTTCCAATCGTCGATCACAAGTGACGCTGCCCAATCGGAGTTGGTCACCCAAAGGAGCCCGTGTCATGAAACTTTCTCGTCATTTCGAGGATCAATCACAAAAGATGCTGCCTATTCGGCGTTCGTCGCCAGAAGGTGTTCGTGTCATGAAACGTTCTCCTCGTTCTGCGGATCGATCACTAGAAGCTGATGTAAGATCTTTTGGATTGCTCTCCAAAACATATGTAATGAACAAAACCTCTCGATTGATTTCTTTCTAGGGCCATTATCCATTGGAAACTAGTTCTCCATCCATGGCTGGCATGCATGAAACAGCTTCTCCTATCGACAACAGAAAGGTAGCAAATTATTAAAAGAATTTTTGTTAGGTCGGACCCTTGGGTTATAGTCATGCCACATCTTTTGTTTGAATAGATCTGATATGTTTTAACTTCTGCTGACCATCATCGAAGAAGTCGGTCCGACATTTTTACGGGGAAAGTCAAGATTGCTCTCCTATCCTCAGGCTGACTCACCGATGCTAATCATTAGTACTATGGTTCAACGTCAATTTAGACAAAATATTCCATTTTCTGTCAGTAGTAACAAAACAGAACTTTCCAAAAACACTGCCGTGCAGATACTCTGCCACAACTAGGAAAGAAGCCCATCGTATTAAGTAGATTCTGCAAAAAACTGATGCTGATGCATCGATTCATAGTTTATGGCAGTGGCGTAAATGATATCTCTGCAGAGTATAAGGACAAAAGCTGCTATAGATCATAAGTCAGAGAATAGTTGTTCTTGTAGCTTAGATAGAATTATCGAAGAATATAATAGTTCTTGTAATTTTTAAGGGAGATTTTTGTTGCTTCCCATTCCTTTGTCTTACTGATCAGAGAGCGAAACTGAATCGAATTATTTGGCAGTTCTACTTGATTCGGCATAGGTGAATCGAAGCAAACTGAATCCATATATAGATGCTGTGGAATAGAATTGAAATCGAAATTGTTTTATTCGTATCGATTTTGGTTTAAGGGCTTCCCCATTCGAGTTTGAATATAAATAAATCTTCAACTTCATAGGATCACTTCAAAAATAAACGAAACTAGCACTTGTCGGTTGCAAAAAGAAACCAATTTTATTCGAATTAGAAATTATAATTCGCACGACTGTCATATGATTACAGTAGAAAAAGAATGCTTCAAATTGTAATTTATAATTTAGATAGACCTGTTGTGCCACACAAAATCAAAAGATAAATTTTATCTCAGTTGTAATTTTAACTCAAATGATCATGTTACCTTCGTACTTTGTTCACTCAGACAAAATTGTGATTTTGAATATTTTAGAGCATAAAAGTACTCTTTGCTCGAGTAACTCAACTTTTATATTAGTATCGCGGCATGGGAGCGTGAAGTAGCACTGGAAGAACTGCGATCAATGCGTGTCTCTGTGTGCACAATGATCGCGGTATTTATGATACATACTTGCATAGCTAGGTAGAATGAGCCCTGTCTGGATTATCTTTTATACTTCAAGGAAACGCTTTTCGCCGATATCATCCACATTATTTTTTTCTTCGAAATTTTCATTTATTTTCAAATTCAAATTAGGCATCGACTCGATCGAAATTAATGTTAATAGAGACTAGCATGTCACCGTAAAACATGAGATATAAGACGGTACGACGCATGCAAATAATTTCAAAAATATAAATAGATCGAGATTTGACACAAGCCGAAACTCAATGTCTATGTCGTAGAGGAGAGTGTTGCCGTGCAAAATAATACGCATCGTGAAGATGCTGCGTCGTTCATTAGTTGCACTCATTAAGCGAATGGCGAAATATATTTAATCGCCAATGAACGAGAGCCCATCTGACTGTCGCCAGTATATTCCCTATATTTTCGCCAACCTGAATGCCACTTATGG